ACTCCAGGGAACTGTGCAGATACTGTACACAGGTAAGCTGAGGTCAAGGGATCGACCCCTGGGATCTGCATCGGCTACTGCCAAAGGTGAAAACTATTTCACATCGGACTAACCAGCCCAGGTAAATTCAATATTGTGTCTAATCTGACATTGGGTGGCCTTTTCAGCCCAGGGTAGCCTTGATTGCCTTCAGGGAACCGCCAACGGGGGACAGCGGCCAGGGGACAGCCGGTGGCAGATGGACCGAGCATCATCTGAGTGGCCAGTCGCTGTGCCTCCCCGATTACCTCTCCCTCCCATTATGAACATCAGCAACGACTGCTTTTTAATGCCAATTGGGGGGACTAACGTGCTATCTCTAGGGACGTGGTCCCACTAGCAAAGAGGATTGGATAGAATGACTGCATCTGGACGTGTTCGTAAAGAGGTGCAGGAAATCGAGATTGAACTGCTTCTCTGCATCTCTGCATAAAACACATCAAGATTCAGGCATTCTATCTGATCCTCTTTGCTACCGTCTTCACCCGAATAGAACGCCCGGTCATTGTCGCTGTATTTGCACTGGAAGTTGGCCCAGATACAGCTATAATGACTGGGCGTTTTATTCGGGTGAAAACGGTAGTGGGACCTCGGCTTAGGTGGCGGGCGCCAAGCATGCCCAGGAAAGTACACGAGGCCAATGGGGATTGAACCCAAAACCTCCTGAATGCCACTTGCGTGCCTTACCAAGGCAATAGCAAAGAAAAGGACCCAGAATACGAAAAATCACGGGGCGAAGGCCTCACAATTCCACCCAGGAGGGCCTACTGGTTCGCTTCCGCTGGCGCTAACGCTGCGCTCGGACCAAGCGAGGACCCGGCGGCAACGCAGGGCACGTGTGATCGCGGCATCTACCACCATGATAGCTGCGCGATGGATATGGTGGACGGTACGTTCTTGCATCGTCGGAACGTCGAAATGCGTGGCGTTTCTGTAGTCCCCATAGCACATGTCTGGAACAACCCTTCACGCCATCTTCAACCCAAGTATCAAGCTTACGATGTCAATATCCAGCATGGAACCGTCTCTGCTAAGTATTTCTCCTCGAGACAGTCTATAGTATGCTAGTTAGCTCAAATAAAACTGTCACCCAACTAATCGTAGTATAGTATCAGTATTAGTCTTGCTGTTAGTCCATTCAATAGCGTGCAGTCTGCGAAACGTTAAGCTACTCCCCCTCCAATATCGGTCGTAAAGTTCGTAATCATACCCATACTCTTAGTAGTCACTTGGTTTTCCTTTCTCCCTCCGTTTTTCACTTGGTTTTCCTTTCTCACTCCGTTTTTCACTTGGTTTTCCTTTCTCCTTCCGTTTTTCTCCAACCCTGTGCTTTCAGTTTTTTTCAGGCGGCACAACGATAGCTTTTCCCCCCTCCCATCATCGACTGATAAGATCGAAATCAATTGAAGATCCGATAAATTCGTAGTCTAGCGGCCGAAAAGTTCAAAATCATTTCTTTTTTCTTTCCCTCCATCATTTTCTCTCCTACCCGGAGATTTCCGGAATCGTGATCTTCTATCACATGAGCTGAGCGTTTATAACATCCTTCCTTTCTCCGTTGTCGGATGGCATAACGATAGATCTTTTTCCCCTCATCATCGACATAACGATAGATCGTTTTCCCCTCATCATCGGCCGATGAGATCGGAGTCGGTTAAAGATCCGATCTCTTCGTAGTCTGAGCGGCCGAAATATTCATAGTCGCTTCTTCCTTTCAGTCCATTTCAGTCGGTAAAACGCTAGGTCTTTCTCCCCCCTTCATCGACCGATAAGATTGTAATCAGTTAAAGATCTGCTTCCCTCGTAGTCTGAGCAGATCTTTGCCCTACCAATCTGTGTTGTTGGGAAACGTGATCTATCCAACGAAGTAAGAAGTCCATAGTTCCCTTTCTCATTTAGGGACGACTGTTACTTCGTACACACCGCTTGGCTCTTGTCTCTCCTCCGGCACTACATACATCAGCGGCTTCGTGTCTTTAGTGATAAGCATCTCCATTTCGGAAAAAGCAGTAAAAGAGCCACATTCAGATAGAATGGAGATCAGACAGGAAGAGGAGCCAGTCAGGGGCAGGGATAGAGGAGCTCGTTCTCCATCCCCTGGTCCAGAGGGCACGATCGACGAAGAAGAACTTTGGATTAGAGAGATGATCCGCCTATGCTATGAGGATGGAATCCTCCCGTCGAATATAGATCCAGGAGAAATGTCGATAGAGGGGAGGGAAGCACGGTTCAAGGTTAACATCAACATCGATCAAGCCAAGGTAACATGGTTGAAGCTACACACGGTGACGTTCATATTCAGAGACGGCACAAGATTTCTACCACGCAAGATCAAGGATGATATTGTCCGAGCCTATGAAGATCGGAGAACCAGCGATGGAACGTTTGATCCCAATGTATTCCAGAGGGGAAGAGTGAAGATCGAAAGTCCCAATGTCATTTCATACGTGGCAAAAAGTACGGAGGTGGTGGAATGGCTGATCAACAAAGGCAGTGACAACATCACACTAGCCAACTACTCCTACTCTCTCGATTTCAAGCCCTGGCTTACCAAAGCCCAACTGAGAGCTCAGAGAAGGGAAGAAGACGAAGCAACGTTTTGGGTGATTGCGGTGCAAGTCCCGTTAGATGCCATGATCTACCTCGAAAGCCATGTGAGAAGAGCTATTGGCCCAATGATTCTTACTCATCCGGCAGAGCCTGATCAGATGAAACCTTCCCTGATCAACATCAAGTTTGATCTGGATCTCGCGAGCAGGGAGAATATGAAGGACAAGATCTGGATCGATACTTTTGAGGGAGACTCATTTGAAGTGAAGCTGGCTTCCTCTGACACACCACGATGTCGTCAGTGCAGAGCTTTCTTTCATCTCGAGTGTGAGTGTCGAAGAGGTAATCAACAACGTGGTCAAGAATCTGCCGCTGGTGTCCAAGCCTCAGGAGTTAATGCAGGAAAGCAAGCACAATCTTCTGCTCCTCGCTATAATGGCCCACTCGGCCCTCGTCCTCAGTCACCAGTGATCCAAGCTGGAGGAATTCAGCAGCAGCAAGGTGGTGTCCCCTCCTTCAACAACATAAGATTCAACCCGCTAGCATCTCCAGGAATCGGTTCTGGTCAGGGAGTTTTTCCCACTCCAGTGATCGACCCTAACGGTGCAAACTGGAGTCATATACCTCCGTACTACTGGAATGGTCACCCTGCTTACATGCAGCACATGATGGCAACCGGATCTGCATTCCAGCCGTTCGCCATTCAACAGACACCAAGAACCATCACCAAGGGTCAGGCCAGCAGACGGCGGTACAGGCATCCAGGTCACTCATCTTCCTCCTCCGCAAGGCACAGCCGTCACGCATCAGCCAGCTGTCACTCCTGCCTTAGGCCAAATGCAGCCCTCCAACTCTCAAACGACTCCTGCAGCTAACGTGCCACTATCCGGTCACCCGTCACCATCAGCAGAGGCTGTAAACAGAGCCAGGAATTCAGCTCAGGGCAAACAAAGATGGCTTAGTTTCGACGAAGGTAACGAAGGCTGCAACTCTCAACTTCAAGGTGAGCACTCAAAATCTTCCACAGGATCCTCACACGAGCTGCTATCCACGTTTGGCACTCCTGGTAGCAAAACAACCAGGCATAGAGTGTCAGTGGCCCTTGAGAGAGGTCAATCGAGTGATCTGGAAGTTCGTCTCCTCCCACTGTTTCTCACGATCACCCGGAATGCAATGTGGTTTGTAGCTTTCTCTAACAATGACGAATCTACAGCTTTGATCAATATCCCCTTCCCTGACTCTCCGATGCCAAGCAGCATAGTTAATTTGCTCCGTTCAGCAATTGGAAACAAATTCCCTTTCAGATGTATCCCAGATGAGATCATGCCCCGATTAATTATTGATAATCCTCTCAACCCTGGGAAAAAAATTAAATTTTTTGTCCCAGTTTGTGACGTGCGTTTCAAAGAGGGTCAAATTGATTCTCTGGAAAGAGACGGCATGAGACTCATTCCGATCTCTCTGATCACTGAGAAACGGAAACAGTTGCTGGCTCGTATTACCATTCCCCCCCTCAAATCTGCTGAATGCCTCGCCTCAGTTGATGGCAAATTACCGAAAGATAAGAAACTGTTGTCTCCTTTCATCCAATCCAATCTGCTAACCCCTTGGCCACAACAGCCTGTCTCACAACATGATGGTTTGACAGGGAATTATGGGTAAACTATCACTGGCCACTTGGAACCTACGCGGGATAGGGGACTCGTCAGGTAAGCATAAGAAGGACAGGTTGAAATCCTGGCTACATGAGAAAAATGTTCATATTACCTGCCTTCAAGAAACAAAGCTCAATGAAGATAAAATCAATGCTTTAGGCACATGGTGGGACGACCCACAAATATGGTCCCCCGCCCAGGGTTCTAGAGGAGGAGTAACGATATTAGTCCATCGATCGTTGGAAATCGAAATTATAGACTACTACGCAGACTTGTGGGGGAGATGGGCATGGGTTAAATTATTCTTTGATGAACAGGAATGGTTGGTAGTCTGCGTTTATGCTCCAACGGACTATCGGGAAAWAAMCGTTTTTTTTKATGAACTGATGTACGTAATCCCAGACTGTAATCAGACCATATTGGCCGGGGACTGGAATGTGTCTCTAGACCTGGCTCACAGCAGACAGGATTCAACATTGTCTAGGGATAGGGCAACCCTCATCTCATTGATGTCAGATCTTGACGTCATAGATCCGTACCGTCTGTCACATCCTCACAAGGAGGGTTTCACATGGTTCTCAAACAATAGGAAAGATGTCGGCACCATCAGACCCCGTCTAGACTACTTCTTGATATCATCTACAATGTGGGAAGCTATAACATCAGTTAGAGAGCGAAATAACCCAATGCCTGATCATAAGCCGGTACACTTAACAGTTCAGACCCATAGAGTAGTAAGAGGGCTAGGACTAATACAGCAAATTTGGAAGACCCGGGCCTTGTCAAATGGATGAAGGAATTTTGGGTTTCATGGGAAGAAGCCTCGAACAAGTTCAGATCCAAAGAAGAGTGGTGGGATAAAGGGGTTCATATCTGCTCCAATTTGCTCAGCGTCTATTAAAAAATACTCGCGTTTAAGAGAAACAGCAAGGAAAAATCCCTCAAGAAACGCATTGAATACGCTAAGTCGAGAATGTCAGAACATCCGGTATCTAATGAGGTATGGGATAAGGAAAGGGCAAAGCTAATGACGGAATGGGATGAACTTCAGACACATGACTCGGAGGTCTGGTCGGAGCGTCTCCGAGTGAAAAGCATTGCTGTGTATGATAGAATGACGGAGGAATCATTCCAGAAATTGATACCTAGACGGTCTTCAATTCCCATGAACGAATTAAGTCATCCATTCGACAGTGAAGCTCCTAAAGCAAAGGAACTGTCCTCCTTGTGTATGTATGCTGCCCTCTACTATTGCGATATACTCACATCACGTCTCCAAGGTGCTGATGTCACAGACGATCTGCATATGGGGAACAATCATTGGATTAATACTACGGTTAGACTCTCTTCCGTTGGTAGGCTTGATTTGGATAGACCAATCTCAATGGTGGAAGCCAAGGAAGCCCTCAAGGCGATGTCGAAAGGTAAAGCCCCCGGTGATGATAGACTGCCCGTCGAACTGTATGTGTCGATATGGAATGAAGTAGGTAGTCATCTAGTGGATATATACAACGATATCCTAACTGGAGGAAGCCTCTCTGATAGTATGAGCAAAGGTGTCATTTCTGTACTGTTTAAGAAAGGAGACAAATGCGAAATAAGGAATTGGAGACCAATTTCAGTCCTCAATGTGGTTAAAAAGGATCAAGCAGCCTTCGTCCGGGGCCGTTCAATATTCAACAATATTGTGACGGCCATCGAATCATTGGAAGTCATCCAAACAGACAACCTCAACGTCGCTGTGCTGTTATTGGACCTAGAAAAGGCATATGACCGGGTGAACTGGTTATATGTCCTCACGACTCTTAAAGTAATGGGCTTTGGTCCGAATATCTCCAAATGGATAGTTGGGCTATACACCTCATCTAAGGCGTCTGTGTTGATCAACGGTAGAAGATCCAATGAGTTTACCTTGACACGCTCACTGCGCCAAGGATGCCCTTTGGCACCCTTAGTGTTTGCTATCCAGATGGAAGTGGTATTGAATAACATCAGATCAAACTCATCAATCAAAGGGATATCTATGGGTCCAACTCAGTGCAAAGTAAAGGCTCTGGCCGATGATTCATTTGCAGTATCTGAGAACTCATCCTCTTCCCTCGCTGCGCTCAAGTCAGAACTCGTTACCTACTCCTCCTTATCTGAAGCCTCCGTTAATTGGCACAAATCGGTCTATTTTCTCCCCACCGAATTCCACTTGGAAACAGAATGGGGTATGAAACGTATAACGGACAGCCAGTCAGAGAGGTTTCTAGGAGTACAAGTTTCACTCCTTGACTGCTCAGGAGACCAAGACGACCTTCTCCTTCAGAAATCGTTACACCGTCTGACCACATGGGGCAAAGCAGCCCATCTCTCCCTTTTCGGTCGTGCCCTGGTCCTAAATGGAGCTCTGTTCGCTCTCCTATGGTTTGTAGCCACAGTTAGAGCAATCGATAAACAGGTGTATGATGCAATTCGCCGACAGGCAGCAAAGTTCTTATGGAAGTCCTACGCTGGGGAGGAAGATGCATTCCTCTCGAAAGTTGCATGGGAGATGTTATGTACTGCTCGTGAAAATGGAGGCCTAGGCATCCTTGACCCTCGCCGACAGAATGATGCAATGCTAGTGAAATGGTTAATCAAAGCTGTCAGCTCATCCGACTCTCCTCACTGGACTTAGTTGCCAGAATACCTCCTAGCCAAGGAATGGAACCTCTCTAGACCTGATGATATTTGGACCTGCCTTATGCTCTTCTCCTACCAAAGGAGACAAGTTAAGTCCCCCTTTTGGAGATCTATCATATAAGCCTGGAAGAGGCTAAGACCTGACGTCTGGGTTGCACCTACTCATACAAGCCTGGAAGAGGCTAAGACCTGACATCTGGGTTGCACCGACAACTAAGGCTGAAGTACTGGCTCAGCCAATATTCGAAAACCCACACATAAGATCTCAAGATGGAGAATGGATTAAAGCTGACACTGCTACCCACAGTTTCGGCSGTAACTGGATAGAGAGAGGAGTAGTACGAAYAGCAGATATTTGGGACGAACTGACGGGTGACTGGGTTTCTGGGTCTGTACTCAGACAAAAGTTGGGCACGCTGAGAAGAACTGAAGAGAAGAGAAGCATGATTATKGAGGCTATTCCTATGGCTTGGTCTAGCATTCTGTCTCCCTCATCAGTAGACCCTYYAGGAACGTGGTATATGAACTCAGATAAAGAAGATCCCCTCGTTTGGAAGCTGATCKACATCCAATCAGATGGTAAACGCACCTTTCAGGGCTGGCAAAGAAGAGGTGACAATTCCTCACTCAGCCAAGTTWTGGACTCCACACCGACGGTGGGATCTTGTTTCAAACAGGTAAGAGTAACTGAAGTCACAGACCCAAAGGGTAACATTACATGTTGTCTGTTTGCTCAAGGGAAACCTGTTGCAGATCTAAAGTTAGACCCACATGCTTGGGAATGGAGGGCAAAAGGAAGAAGTGGAGAGAACCTTAGGCTGATAGAATACACCCAACAAACAGGCTACAGCATGTCAATTCCAATGAAAGATCCACTGGTTGTATCAAGAAGCAGATGGGCTCCACTATTTCCGGACTGTGACCCTGCTAAATTAACCTTGATGATAACGAGGTGCTGGGAACCGCTGAAAATCATTCCGAATCAGAGGCATGCATCAGTGATCTGGTTGTTATCTTTGGCAGCTACTCCAACTGCAATCTGGCTGGTTCAACATGGTTTATCAATTGATACTAAATGTGTCCGGTGTCTTTGGGCTTTTGAATCACTGTCCCACATGTGGTGGGACTGCCCAGATTCAAACAGAATCTGGGCATGGTGGTTAAAACAATGGGACAGTTTATCAGATCGATCGATCAAATGGGACAAGTTCTGGGTCTTAATTGGAGGTGTCCCTGAAGAGTTGAGCTCGCAAGATGGTTGGGGATACATAGCCCAAACGGCCAGAGCAGCGATATGCTCAGTCATCTGGCACGAGAGAAATGATGTCCCTGAGGTCTTTAATGGTAAGAACTGGACACGAACAAACAGATCCGGTGTGAAATATTTCAAGGCCTCAGAAGGGCCATCCTGGCGGACTGGAGAAGAAAAGTTCTCAAAGCAGACAACGCCACAGCCGGCAAGAAGTGGTTTTCCAAAACATGGTGCCTGAACAGTAAGCTGGCATCGATCAACGAAGAGGATAAATTAATTCTTGGACAGTGGTTGTTCAGTACGTAGAGATGTGGGTAGTATAAGGTTTCTCTTCCAGCAACTCATCGTTTTTGTTGTCCCCTC